ATATACATATATAATGTATAATAATTGAAATGCAACTATATTGTACAAAATACTGGTCTACTAAAACACAGCCAAGACAAGTTACTTTGTAAAGACCAAAAGCCAGTTTTATGTTATTTGGTACATTAACATGAGAGCACGTGAGTTGCATCATTGTAACTTCTGTATTCTTAGTTATAGCATTAAAACTATAACACGCACAAAATGGTTACAAGGTCGGTCCCAGGGACAGAGCCCATGCTGAAAGAGTTAACCTGAAAATGTATTTCCGATAGATACACACTTCTGCACACAGTTTAGCTATCTTCCTCAGTGAGCCTGCCAGTGAGATTTCCATGCCACTAGCCTTGAGGCAACCTAATTTCATGTGAATTGTGCTGTTGCATGATGATGTCATCATGTGACAAAAACCCTTCACCAATACGAGTGCAACACACCTCCATGTCCAATAAAGGTGCACTGAAAATGGGGAGTATGAGTGGGAATATTGCAGAGGTGAGTACCTATCAGAAATACATTTTCAGGTAAAGAAAATGTTAACTTTCAAAATGATACCTCACCTCTTGACATAGTTTAGCTAGAATCCAACGTTGAATTAGTGGAGTTGCTGATACTCTTGTCTCAGAAAGGAGGAAGAGGAAAAAAAAGTCCCACATATTGCAGGGGAGGGCAGAATGAGAAGAGAACCATCCAAGCATTTGCACACATGTGTCAGATAGTCATTATCTTTAGTGTGGTTTGGGTGCATTCAGACAGTACCTTGTGTGCTCACCTCAACTCTACCATCAGACTCCAGCTATGGGAGGAAGTCACATCAGTTATGTAGTAAGGATTTGTATAGAATGTATGCACACCTCAATTCTACCATCAGACTTTATGGGAGCCTCCAGCTGCAGGAGGAGGGCACACAAGTGATACAATATGGCCTCTAATAGTGTGTGCTTGCCTCAATTCTATGGTTAGATTCTACAGGATGTACTTCAGCTGCAAGAGTAGGGCATCATAGTTTTGCAGTTTGGATACATATGGTGTGTGCTCACCTTGACTCTACTGAACAGTTTCTGGCTGCAGGAGGAGAGCACAAGAGACATGACTTATAAGAGAGATGACCACCACCCTATTTCTTACTACATTGTACCTCCTTTGTGTAGCCCCAGCTTTTTTACTGGAGACAGTGAAATGGATGGCTGCAAAACCCTATTTTTAAAAGCCAGTAATTGCAAGTCAGAGAAGTGGGCAGAAAACTTCTCTGGTGTTGGCTTTTTCCATGACAGCCCATGAAATAAGTACAGTTTAGATCAAACAATTAAGTGAATATATATATATATATATATATATATATACATACATACAACGAGGATACCTCAAGTGGTCTTGTAGAACACTAATTCTCACAGAGGGCACACACATAGAGCCAGGGCAGATGGAATGAGTGCTTTCTGTTATCCTGGCTTGATGTAGATTTTGGGTAAGTATATTCTGAAAGGCAACACCAGCCACTTCTTCAGATCCTATGAATTGAAAAAGAGGAGACTGAAGAATGATGACTTGTGGAAGCCAAAACCATCAGGAGATAAAACAGCCAGAAGGTTTAGAGGAGGAGATGAATGTGTGGAGAATGTCCACATATCCACCTGATGGAGTTTGTCCTAAGCCCCATGAAGAAGAGATATAAGAGAATGAAAATGGTGAGAAATTGAATTCAAAGAAATGTGAAATAGTCAGTGAGTATCCACATCCCAAGATGAACATACCAACAGAACAAATCAATGGACCCATCCAGTATGTGTAGAGGTCCTTGTAAAAAGAGGAGTCCCAAGGTAGGGATAGATGAAGACAGGGACTCTGAAAGGTATAGGTTGTAATAAGGCACATTGAAGAGCTAAACAGGACACAGGAGCTGATCTGGGTCCAAACAGTCCAATAAGTGTGAGGTAGAAGGAAAGGAGGTAGGAGAGAAGTACAGTCAATGTCACAAGTGGTCAGTCTGAGGAAGGAAGGATAAGTTCGGGGAGAGAAGTATATAAGTGTAGTGGAGGGAGTGGGAGAAGTACCTATAAGATAGACATCTAAGCAATGGTTATCGCAGGTGAGAAGGAGGAGGAAACAAGTTATAACAAAAAAGATGGTGCAAAGGGTAGGAAAACAAGGACTCCAATGGGGCAAGCGTGAGATCGTGTAAAATCTCACTAAGGTCTCAGGCAGGCATAGGAATTGTGTGAGGAGAACAAAAAGGAACAGAGTGGAGAGGACAGGGAAAGAAACATCTTGTGGTACCAGGAAAGGAGAAATGACAAGGACAAAGACACGAGAAATTAGGTGGGAGTTGCCTCAAGGCTAGTGGCATGAAAATCTCTCTGGCAGACAAGTAAGGAAGACAGCTAAACTGTGTAAGGAGGTGAGTTATCATCTTGGAATTTTCTTTTTTTTTTGCCCATCCCAAAAAATAGTTTTAAATCTGTTCAGAAATTATTACATGTTAATAATATAATATCCATTTCTTGATATTCAAGAGTTTCCCTTGTGTTCATGCCTTGGTTACCACTCTTATGGTGACACATCAAGATGTTCATTTACCAATGAAATGCAACTTTGGAAACAGCTATAGAGAAAGTTCAAATATGATAGACTAGAGTAGGGGTTGACAACCCTTCAAAGAAGAAGAGCCTTTTTTTTAACTATGTCTCAGACCAAAACATTTTGAGAGCTGCAATATGCCTTAATTGTCAAACCTACAAAAAAGGTCCCCCCGGTGGGACAGCGGCAAGTCTTCAGATTTACAATACTAAAATCAGGGTGTTCGATAACCCCTCTTAGGGACACAGCAGATAGGCCAAGAGTTGCATGTGGCTCACAAGCAGCAGGTTGCCAACCCCTGGACTAGAGCAATAATTAAACTTTTACTTTTCATGTCATACTACAGTAAATAAAGTTGTTTAAGTAGAATTTTATGGTTTCAGGAAAGTTGCTAGTTGGAGCTCCTGTAGCATTTCCCAATAGCATGAAATGGAAGTTTGATGACATGGGAACAAACCAAGAAGCTGGGAATTTTTGATATTTTATTTTGATGTTCATTTCATTCTTGAAAGTGTTTACATGTTAAATTATAGTTGTTTTAAAGGTACAGAAATTTCCTTGGATGAGAAGACAACAGTTTTTTATGATTACGCACAAAGCTATATAATGGATTATCCATGCTGTGCCCACCACGAGTATTGAAACCCATATTTTTAGTATTATAAATCAGTAGACTTACTGGTGGTCCACGGGGGTAAAAAGACAATAGATAAACTCATAAAAGTTCAGTGTGAATGATACGCATTGACAAAATATTCCGATGACTCAAAACCTTATTTATCAAATGTTATTTTTATATTTCTCCTTTCAAACAATAAACATACAAAAATTAGTTAACTGGCTACTTAATTATTTCTAATTGCAACTGGGATATATTTTAAATAAAATCATTTTTACTGTTATTGATTATTACTGTTTTATTCATTTGATTTACAAGAGATTAACTCTCTCACTTAGTCGAATAGGCCGAGTTTGTGACTCCAAATTGACCTTCATAGTTTGAATACTATAACTTCTAATATGTTCTGTGTATCTTTACAAAATTTTGCAAGCTTTTAGTAATCATTAAGTCTTTTATAGACAAAAACTCAGAATTTTTAATGAAGTATTTTCACTAACAATTTCTCCATGAATACATGGAGTCAAAAGTGCTGACTGCTCCAAGTACAAAGTGAATTTTATGTCAAGATTCAAAAAACTTTTCTTCATCTCAAAATTGTCCAATTTCATTTGCATAATCTCTAGAAACTCCTAAATAAATTTCAAACGTTTTTTCTGTAAAAGTTTATATTTTCTCTACCTTAATTCTATAAGAGGTTGGTCAGTTTGATCGACCTTGCAACCACCACAAAAAATATAAAATAAATCTAAATTACCATCTTTTTCCTTTCTAGAATGACTTCAAATTGTAACATGAAACTACATTTGTTTATCCTAAATAGCTTAAATCTCATAACAGTATACATCTTTTTCTAGTTAAATTTTGTTTATTACCCTTTAAACCATGTCTAACTAATAATCCAATCACACAAGTTGTAACTCCCTTGACAAATGTGTAACTCACATTATCCTATTAAATTACACATGACACGGGCTACTCATGAGCTGCTTATGAGTGTATCTCATGAAAAATGTTGTTGTTTTTTTCTCTTATCTAATCTAACCTTATCTAATGTAATAGATTTCTAATTTTTAAATGTTAGTTATTTTATAATAATAAACAAAGAATACACATGAAAAACAAGAAATATAATACTTACCTGGATCTTCTTTTTTTTTTTTGCTGTGGGATGAAACTTAACCATACATTTTTATATCAATGGTACTACTACACTAAATAATTTTGTATTTAATTAAATAATGAACATAAGAAAACGGAATAATAAAACATAAAAAGCAGATAATATCTGATAACTATCATAATTTTTCTGGCTTTCTAACTATGCGATAAGAGCCGTTAAAAACTCAGCTAAGCTCACTGATGTGCTTCCCATGGAAATAAAGTTTCAATTGGAAGCTAAATAGACAATCCTCTATATAGAAAACAATGTATATATATATATATATATATTACGTCATTTGATAGATTAAATCATTGGCTTTCTATTGGTTATAAATAATATAATGTTAAACATCAGAGAGAACTATTGGCAAATTGTGAAAGAGAGGATGTGACAGGTGAGCATTGCAAGATGGGTCTGATTTTCTCTCTCTTTTATGGCTCTGTAACCAAATAAGATTAAAGGCCATAAAAATTATGTTTTGCCTGAGTGTTAAAAATATTAATATGAGTAATTGATGTTAAGTCCTCTACTTTTCAGAGAGGTGGTAAATAAATTACAGAAGAGGGGATACCTAGAGAGCAAATGTTACAATTCTCATATTAAGTTAAGACTGAGGATTTTTCAAAATATTTCCTTATAAAATTAAGAACTTGAAACTTATATAATATTAAGATTTGATTAAAGAAGTACGTTTTAATGCCACATTTATTTGTACATCATGATAATATAACAGTTCAATTAAGTTTGGAATGTTACTCTCTAACAAGTCATGACATGCACATATTGACCTGCCAATAGTGAGTGGGTCAATGGAAGTTAGTTTGTTTTGAATTTTGCGCATAGCTACACGAGGCCTATCTGCGCTAGCTGTCCCTAATTTAGCAGTGTAAAGCTAGAGGGAAGGCAGCTAGTCATCACCACCCACCGCCAACTCTTGGGCTACTCTTTTACCAACGAATAGTGGGATTGACTGTCACATTATAAAGCCCCCCACGGCTGAAAGGGTGAGCATGTTTGGTGTGACAGGGAATCGAACCCACGACCCGCAGACTGCAAGTCGAGCGCCCTAACCACCTGGCCATGCCGGGCCTGGGTCAATGGAAGATTACTGCATATTTTGAAAAACAAACAAGATTGTGACAATGTGGTTGTATTGATGTTAGAGATTCACCAAGGAAATATTCAGGTTATCTTTAAAGAAAAAATTCTATGCAAAATATTTCTGTCTAAATATTTTTTTTTTGGAAAATTTGCAAATGCCAACCATCAGCACAAACATTGTGAGAGCATTCTGGTTATTGGGTTTCTTGGATTATACCTCCTCCACTTTTTATTGCCTACATTTCAGTCACAAGCTTACATTAAATAATCAAGTATTATCAAAATTTTTAATAGTACTGAAATGTCAAGTTATAAGCAAAAAAAAAAGTTATAAGTTATGATAAAACTTTTTATTTTCCTATAATTTCAAATCTAACATTCAGCTGTTCTGTGATTTAATTCAAAAACTATTGGATTCTGTAATATAGTTAACTCTTTCATTACCATTTATAGATAAAAATCTTCTTCTCTTGGCAGATTTATTTTTAAGATCTATAATCAAATACAAAAATACACAGGATTTAAATATTTCATCACTTATCAGAAACGTAAAACTTAAAAGTTTGAAGAGTAACATCATTTCTTCACAGTGGTACAAAATGCCAAACTCCCATGTCCTTACTATACAGACGGACATATGTGAGTTAAACGTTGAAGTAGTGAATGTCTTCAGAAATTTTCACTACACATAATCGTTATTTGAAGTTTGTTCTATTTCAACACTACTCAATTTTAAATTACTGTTGCACAGTAAAACATACTTGTGACATTATGCCTCACCTCAAGCTGTGTTTCTTCCCTTAAACGCTGCAAGTACTGAAAATCTCCAGAACTTTTCACTGCTGATGATTGTTGTTCTAAATTCTTTTCAAGGCTGTCACATTCTTGGAAGTTTGACCAGGAACTGCGGTGAGACGTATGGCAGGAACTATGCTGTAATAAAGGATAAATATACCACGTTAGTTGCTTACACCATATAATAATTATCAAGCACAACTAGAAAGAACAATGCATTCCAGTTACATATATGAAGAGTGTTAGTTGACTGTATGATCACTGATGGCTGTTTACTGATGATGTTTTTTAATTTGTAGAAAACGTTTTATATTTTAACTTTTGCAATTTTAATAATTAAAGATCCTGAAACTGAAAAAAAAGTAAAATATTATGATATATTTGCAAAAATAACAAAAAATAAAACTGCAAATGGGCATTAATCCTCATATTTCTTGTATACAGTTCATTAATGGTGGGGTATACACATTGCATCATATTAAGTAACTTGGTTTTTGCCTGTTAGAACACTCGGTGTAAATAATTAACCAAAAGAAATTTAATAGGTGAAATCATTCATTTTCTATGTAAGAGAAATAGAAAATCCAAACAGTAATTAATGGGATTAATTGGAATATTTAAAGTATTTTTGTTTAAATTCTTTTGTGTGACTTTTATATTATCAGAGACCCTGTGTAACTAACAAAATAAAGGTTTCACAAGCATTTTGGTGAGTTAACAGTTTAAAAAATATGGATGTATTTGCTCACTTTAAAGGTGGAAGATAAAATAAGTATTTTTCATTATTGTAATAAAAAGAAAACACTTCAAGATTAAATTAGATTAAATAGCAAATTTATATAAATTTATTTTTATTTCTTAATGTATAATGTTAATGTGGAGAAAACTTGATACTCAATAGATTATAAGGCCTGTACTTCTTTAAGGATAATTTCACCAATAGTTTAAAGCACATGCCTATTTAAATATCAAGCCAGACAGTGTTCAGTAAAAGTAATTTTAATTCTTAAAATTTCCAAAGCAGTTCATAGTGATTCTACCAACATTGAAAAAACATTTATTTAAACTGCACATTATATTTCAAATTACAAACATTTTTATATGGTTCAAAAATATCGAATAGCAAAACTTAAGACACAAAATTATTTTATTTTTTCTGTGACCAATAAAACATTTGGTGCATAACTAATTAGAAAAAAATGCAGTTGTATTTGCTTATTCTTAAGGTGAAAGACAAAAATCATTATTTTTCATTACTGAATGAAAAAAACTCTTCCAAGATTATGTTAGATCACATTGCTAATCTATTAGCTATTTCAGCTACGACATCATAATCATATAACAAGGGAACATCAATTAATCACTGATAAACAACAGCACAGATTGAGTGGTTGATCTGTTTATCTGTACTTTGTAAATGAAAATAACTATACAAGTCAACATTTTATTTATTTATTTTTTTGCATAATGAGCAGAAACTTACTTCTGAACTAGTCACACCAAGAGACTGAAATTCATCACAGTGGGAGAAAACCGTATTTTCTTGCCCAGTAAAGGACTCTCTGGATAATCTAAAAGTATAATAAAAAGATTAAAACTACAAGTATAGTTTGTCAATATACAAAGGAACACTGTATAAACAGCATTAGAAGACAAAAGTTGTTACTAATGTTTGTTTCCAACTCAAAATATCGATTTGGTTTAGTAAAAAAATTAATTTTTTAAGATGTTAATAATAGGAACTTATGCTATATCTGAAACAAAATTATCTATTTTATGAATCCTGTCCCGTTGACAAACAAGCATAATATAAATACATCAAGTAAATTTAAAATTTCACACTTCACATATAATTAAGATGGTATTAAGACCTGAAAATCATCTAAAAACAATACTTTTTTGATTAATAATTCATTATTTGGAAACGATGTACTGACTGATCAATGTAATTTCATTGATATTTCAGAGAAAAAAGTTAATCTAGTAAATTTTACGTAAAATTACATGGGCAATTTACATCTGGGCTTTCAAGTACATGAAAATTAAATATTTGGGAATTTACAAGGACTGTAATTAAAAATGTCAAGTTAACACTGCTAATTTCACTTGCGCCTAAAATAAGCTGTCAAAAAATTTAGTGTCAAAACTGATATAATTTTACATTCTTGCAAGGTTTTTATCAAGATAGACTAAAAACTACAAAATGTAAAAACAACACATATTAGTGCAGGATTCATGCAGACTTTACAAAAGAAAATTCCACAATTTTTTTCATGAACTATCCTCAAGTATCTAGAAATCCAAGTTCCTCTACGCATAAATTAAGTCTCTGGTATTGCAAAGCACGAGATTCACACTGGCTGCCACAAAACATAAACCTCATTCTGATAATCAAACTTTATTGGTATATTTTTTACTTAAGCCAATTATTTTAAATCAGGGATTTTTAAAATTGGAATTTCAGGACTTCTTCACTGGAGCATGACTTAAACACAGCTAGGGCTTATAGTACTGAAATTTTTTAACTCATTTTCCACGAGTTTGAGGACTCTTTTCAACTGTGAAAGAATAACAAAGATGATCTGTTTCATTTTTATTGCATAACTGTCCAATTAAATATCCTTTTTTGCTAGTAATGCGAGAATTTGTTTTTGAAATTAATAGTCCAAGAAGAATTCACATAACAAGCCATGACACCAGATTAATCTATGCTGTATTTCTACTCACTTAAAACTTTGCTTTTAAAACTAATCATGCAAAGGGTCTCCACAGTGTAAGCAAACATCAATGCAATGTATGTTTAATGCCCACTCAAGAACATATCTGAAGTATGTGATCTTGGTACAGTAGTAAATAGGTCACTCAAACCATCAAGGAAGTTCTCCATTGCTATTAGTAAAGCTAATACAATTAAGTTTATTTATAGGTATAAAGTGGTAATCATCTCTTTATACAGAACACTTGTTAAGCCACACTTGAAATAATTTGTGCAGTTTTAGTTTCCTTATCTAAGGAAAGATAGACTTACTGGAGAGATTTCAGAGGAGAGCTATCAGGATGATTTTGTATAAATTAATATTTTCCTACACTGAAAATATATGTCTGATAGTTCAGTTCAGTGCTGCCCCTATATGTGCAAACGTTTTTCCTCAGTACTATCCTTGAAACTCCCACCTACCCCACATTTAACGTGGTTCTCCTGCATCTTTGCATGTAATTAAGCATACAGCAACTCTCACAAATAAATGTGCAACAACAATCTCCTGATGCAAGTTACTCCCTCTACAGTTTTCAGTCTAATCTTCACTTTGAGATTAGGCACAAAAGAAGTACCAGAAATGTGAAGGGAGGGTAAGAGGAAGTAAGTACCTATTGGAAATATATTTTCAGTGTTTGAAAATATTAACTTCTGATCCACTATCTTACCCCCTCTCACATAACAGCTAGAATCCCACAATGAAAAAATGGAGGGACTGTGCAAAAGTTACCTAGATGAGCACCCTTTGGAAAGTATTCAAAGAAGGTCTTAGGACTGCGACCTCTTTTGAGAGAGGAACACACCTGTAGGAGACCACACCACATCTGTACCAGGTAGTAAGTGTCATCTAAATGGGTGGAAATTAGTTGGAGCACATCCAATAATGTATATATGTTGGTTGGTCCAGCAAAACACACAACACAAAAATCCAGAAATTGACATCCAGTAGATGGCAGGATGGAGGGTTTCCAACAAAATATAATAATGGTGGGGAAAATGAAACAGATGTGCCCCCATAGGGTAGAATGGCTAGGGCACATCAGACAATACTTGTTGGGTCAACTCCAATCCAAAACCAGATGGCATTGGGTATTTATCTTTTGGTCCACAACAGAAGGAGGGTCCCTACGGTCTTCACCTAAATCGAAACGGAGGCAAGAATGTTCCATCCTGCCTGTCTAGACAGAGCACATGGATTCAAATCCTCAACCAACACCAGCCACTCAGGAACCCGGCATCTGAGTGATGGTAAGCAGGGAAGTGCCCATGGGTGGTTCACTCAGATCCAAAATCAAACATACTTCTAGTTCCTGGTCCATCTCCATGCAATACCAGAACTTATAAGTCACAACCTGCAGGTGGTATTCTGGGGATACCCCAGCCAACCAGAATACCTATCAGCCAGTCCAGCTTCTTGAATACTGAACACCTAAGTCTCAGATTGATGGAGGAGGTAAGCCAGGGGTACCCCAACCAACTAGAACATCGTGTCCATAGTAGGATGAGGGCTACCAACCAACACATACATGAGGACTTATGTTGGCTGGCCCAGCTCTAATCCAAAACCTACAGTCCAGGAACTGACATCTGGGTAGTGGTAAGATGATGGGTCTCAACCAGAGTGCTGAACTGCATTTTGGTGGATCTACTCCAGTTTATGAGTCAGTAGGAGGATCTACACCATTAACACCAGCAGAACACCACCACCCTACTCTCTAATGAATGGGATTGAGCACATTCAGGAGGAAGCCTCCATGGTCCATCACCCCAGCAGCTAGAAACTGGTTAGGACTACTGTATGTACTGCACTTGCAGAAGGAGAGGGAAAATGTGATGGGGAGTCTGAAGAAATGCTACACCAAAAACTGTTCCTCATTTATTCAATCAAAGGAATGGCAGGGATGGGCAGCAATCCCCTTCTGCTTTTCTCATGATATTCCATGAGGAAATACAGTCTAGAACGACATAATTATGATGCAATATATTGTGAGGTGAACCTACTAGAGGTCTTGTGGAGCACCCCATCTCAACAGTGTGTGTTATAGGCCTGGAAAGAGGTATACGTACACAGTGTGGTCACAAGTAAATAGTCACCACCTTTTCAGTCATATTCACGTGAACTGATATATTTATAATTTAATTAATATCTAGTAGATCTTCCTTTCTCTTCATGGAGTTCGTTGATCCTTTGTGGAATCGCGAGAATCATCTCGTCAATTTTAGATTGTGGGATTTTCACCCACTCTTGCTTCAAAACTTGGAGTAGATCGCTCTTTGAAGTTGGTTTTTTTGGTTGTTTCTTGACTTGCCGGTCGAGTATGGCCTAGAGGTTTTCAATGGGTTCATGTCAGGAGATTGGCTCGGCCAGGACAACTTCTGGATTCCATTTTCTTCCTGCTACTTTTGGGTGTTTC